AAAAAAATCTGGTAACTTAAGGTTATTGTGGTCTTACTTTATTTTAAGTTATTTTAATTTGAAAATAAAAAATAAATATATATATATTTACTATAATATATTAATGGTTTAAAATATTAAAAAATAAAATGAAGATCTTAAAATATTACAAAATAGATACATGCACACTAAAATATTGATTTTAAAAGAATGGGATGATAATGGATCATAGAATGGGCCTTTATGTCAAAAGGCCTGAACATGGCCCAATAGTGCCTCAGAAGTGGGAAGTTGGAACCTACCTATAAAACCGGTACCAATCACTAAACCCTTTGCTCACATGCAAAGTGCAAAATTAAACCCTAAGTTCACAAATTACGGAAGAAACGGAGCCATATAATCGTCGAAGATGGACAAGAGTATGCTCGGAGATCTGGGCTCTCTTCCGTCGGAGGATCATTCTCGAATGTCTAACATGATCGATCAGCTCCAAATCCGCGATAGGTTTGTTTTTCCTCTCCAACCGTGTCTAATTTCTTACGATAGACCGTATGTTTATTACCGTTTAAATATTTTTAGCTTTAATCCTTTATGAAACTGGTTAATTGAGTCAATTCGATTATGTCGTTGTTGAAAATGCGTTAAAGAATCAGTTCTTTTAAATTCGTCCATGTGATTTTGATCAATTGCGTCTGTTATGTGTCTTGTTTGTGACGATTTAAACGATCAGGTAAAATTATAATTTGAAAAGGACCAGGTGAATTTTTCACAACCAAAAGATTGATTTCTGTTTTGAAAGGGCGGAGTATTAACGTTCACATGGGAAAAGCACCTGGTTAGACATACTCACACACAGTTATCGCCGCGCGAGGTGCAAACATGACACCAACATAAAAGTGAGTCATTGTGTTTGGTGAATGGTGCTATCTATTACATTAATTTTACGGCATTAATCTTGTGTTTAGTTTTGAAGTTCATGGCTTCACTTGCTATTGTTGGTTTAGTTGCATGATTTATCTTTTTAAGTTATGCATCTTGTGTGAAGCTATAGTTTTGTTCTCCTGAATACCAATGCAATTATGCTATTGCAGTTGGACGTTAAGGGAACAACATTTATGCATGATATAGAGTGATTTAATTATATCTAGTTTGTGTCATCTCTCATTGTTAGAAGCTGAATGAACGATGGCCTATCGTTGTTCATCAGTTTGTTGCTTGTTCACTATGTATGGTCACATAAGTTTTTTATTGCACCATCTTGTACCCAAAAGCTGTTTTAAGATCACAGAGGAACGTTCTTCTCATGCTTTTATTGGTCTAATTTAAGTTCTTCCTGCCTCACATTGAATGGCAGTATCATTTTTCCTGTTAGTACTCCTTTACAACCTTCTCAAATCTCAATATGTGCATACCTGGAATAGTCAATCCTGGCATCACATCCTCTTATCTTTCTCATATTACTAACGTATTTCACTTAGAATGGGTTTTGTGCGCTGCTGCCTCGAAAGCATGGTATATTTTTTGTTACTGTTATTTTTACTTTAAAAACAGTCTAGTGTATCTGAGAGTCTAAAGAAACAATGGAGGTCAAATTACAATAAGAAAGTTGATAACACCCTGATACACTCAGGGTATCTTGCTCCAAAATTTCTGATGAATTATGTCGTGAAAGAAATCCAAGAATTCATCTTGTAATGATTTAGGAGTGTTCAGTTTGAGGATGTACAATGCATTTGTGGAGAGATACTTTAGTGATTGTGTTGACAGTTTTAGACGCAAGACCTTAGATAAACAAGGGAGACTTGTGTTAGGAGATGTGCAGAGAAGTTCTTGAAGCATTCGATGAGTGTTGGATTGAGATTCGCAGAACTTAACCAAGGAGCAGCAACTCCAGACTAACAACCAACCTTTTTATATATCGTTTATTGGAAAGAGATTGCTTTTCTACAGGCCAACTACAACCTCATTTTGTGAAAAATATCTTTATACTTGTTTCTTATAGTCAAATGGTGTCGTCATCAAAAAAAAAATCTAGGTTCGTCCCTGTATCAAACATATTTTTCAAAATGAAAATTTTGGCTAGTTTTTTGCTTCAACGGATCTCAAGATTGAGAAAATAGGAGTGAAATTGAAATTCTCCAAAAAAATTATTAATTTGGAAAGACAAATGATTTTATTAAATGTATTGAATATTTTAATCGTATAACTAATGTTGTGATCTCCAAAATAAATAAATAAATTATAGGGGAATGTTAGTATTTGAATATTTTAATAGTATAATTGATTTTATCCAAAAATGCTTCTACCGACATCCAACACTCTACTCAAACCTTTGGATCCCCGCTACCTAAATAACTTGACATGAATATCATTTCAAAGAAGTGTTAGATTTACGACTAATGAGTTTAAACAGTTGATAAATAGATCATAAATGCATTTAAATCCAAAGTACAATATTCATCAAGTCAAATAGTTCAATTTCAAGAGTTCAAAAATTTGTAAATCTGGAATACATCAAACAATGACAAGGGAATCTCGACTTTCCATTAATAGTGGTGAACACACAAAAGTATGTCACATACCTAAGTTATATGAGCGTCACTGTGGGTCGATGGTCATTAAGTTCAACCACCCACGATCTATAGTTGAGATCTCCAAAGACCCTACTTAAGCTCGTTCGCTAAAAATTACATTATGTTGGTCAATGGCCAATGCCCGACTCCGAGCCCACACCTTGTTGCCTATGAAAATCCAATCCCTATTCCAAGCTACATTCATGGAGTGCACATCCCAATCAAACCAATTAAAGATGACTTATATGCTTATGGATCAATTGTATCTCAGTCCAGTACATTTTAAATCTTTTAGACATGTCCGACGATATCTTATACACAATCATTTATATAATATAAATTGTCAAGTGAGTAAAATTACCATCTCACAATATACCCTTTGAAAATATACGGCCCTTGATTTTTTGTTTCAAAATATGCTTATCTTTGAAGTAATCATTCCCAATGTATATGTAATC